ATTTTGTAGGATTTGTGAGTTTTCTTACACATATTGCCTCTTGAGGTTTGGCTACAAAGTTTTCCAAGAGTTTTTCCTCGGTTAACTTCTTGTTTTGCTTCTCGTTTGAGGAATTTTTTCCCCCAATTTAAACTGAACTACAAGCTTTAAAACCTGCAGTGAGTTGCTTCATTCTTGCAAACTGAACTCAGATGTAATTTACTCCCACTCCCCTCCCTCCTGAGGGTCATTAGGGTCTTTGTTGGCCYTGTCCAAATGCATGGAGGCGCAAATTGGAGTTTGACTGGAAGTTAGATTTAAAATGCATTGTGAGTTCTGGAAAGCGCAAACTTAAGCCTTCCTCCACTGTTAAGTTGTCTTTTTTTATTGTTTGATGCTTCTTTCATGCTCATTTCAAATGATTGATCATCTCTATTCAAAATATGAGGATTGTAGTCATCAAAACGGTAAAGGTCTTAGTGAACAGCTGAGTTTTGGCCTGAGAAGCTTATTCATGCATTGGTGAAGAGGTTTTTGAGTTTTTCCTTTGTGGAGGAAATGTACACACCACCTTGTTGGCTTTGTGTTTGAGTGTTTTATTCTGAGAGTGAAGCAGTTTCTGTCTGAGGGTTTACTTTGAAATCCTTTCTGGGATTGAATACTTGAGTTTGAGTTGATAAAACTCCTCATAAGACTAACAAKAATTTCCTAAAAGAAAAGGAATAAAATGTTTCTTTGATTTAAAACTCCTAGGTTTTACCACGTCCTGAGTGGCATTTATTTTTTTCCCCAACATGCTACATAATTTACAAACCCCAAAATCAAAAAACTGGCTTTTTTTCCCCCTAAAAATTTCATTTCTGCTTCCAGAAGTTATCAATATTTAAACTGAATCTGTTTTCCTTTTTCTACTAAAATATTCCCTTTGCATAGCATGAAAACAGATAGCACTGACTGAAATTTAAATAACTGAAGTAATCTAACTAAATGTAAATAAATTATTTAGTGTAACATTAGCCCTAACKCTAACATTCATTTACATTTGGTTAATGCTAAAATATTAGGTGTGAAAGGTTACTCCACTTTTATAAGTTGAATCAGTGCTATTTTTTTGTTGTGTTTTGTTAGTTTTTTCAGTGTGACATGAACATCAAACATGCCTTTTCAAACTTTATTGTCCACAGGCATCAAATTAATAGTTTCTTAAAGTGGCATAGAAAAGTGACTCACAGCCTGTTTTTTATTTTTTTATTTTTTTGAGGGGGGGTGGGTATCAATCAGGCTAACAAACTCAAGCTTGAAAAGTAACATTTGATTTCACTATTTCATTCACATATTGCCAAACATTGAAATTGCATTTGTGTTTAGTGGAGGCCATTTTGTAAATATATAAAATGAAGAAGCACCCTATTAGATAACTACCTGCAACTACTTTATGCAGTCAAGGGCCATTTGGCCCAGAAACAGAATTTATTCGTCCTTGGAGGAAAACGAAACAGTGAACGGATGAAAGAAGCAGCATTACTGAAGGTAAAAATGCCATCATGTCCTGAGTGTAGCAATTTTCAAACTTTCCATCGACTACTTATCATTTCAATCCAGATTGCAGAAGCAAATTCATCACAGTTTAGGTCTGGATGTTCTTTCCAAAACTGCTTTTAGTCAGACTCATAAAAACTGCCTGAGCGGAGCTATTAGAACACTTTGAATTTATTGAGGTATTTCACCGGCAGCTTTGTTTAGCTCCCTGTTTCTCCCTTCTCCTTTGTATGCTCGGTCAGTTTCCACTCAGGCACATTGCACATTCTGTTGACAAGCTCGCTTTCCAAAAATCCTTTTCTTCCTGCGAGAAGAGAGGGGTCTTTAAAGCCCTCATTTATTCAAACACATTTAGAAATCAAACCTGGTAACAATTCAAGTGTGAACAAGGTGTTAGCGATGAAAAAAAAAAACATTGGGGGAGATAATGAGGTGGTAATGACTGCATGCAGACAAAGTGACACTACCCAAACAGCGTTGTAAAGTTGCAGCACAGAGTCATGGCATACATGATGAATGGAACAGGCACACTTTCTTCACTGTGCCAAATACCCAGAAAGAAATTCAGCCACAGCACTGGATGGTTGTGGTGTGTGTGTGTGTGTGTGTGTGTGTGTGTGTGTGTGTGTGTGTGTGTGTGTGTGTGTGTGTGTGTGTGT